CTTTAATTGTGTATATTTGGACAATGAGTCACAACAAAAGGTTTAATATTCTCTCTCTTATTTTTATTTGTGTGTGTGTGTGTGTGTCTATATATATATATATAGACACACGCCACAAACACCTTTGTGAAATTTGTGGAACTTCTGTTGGTAATGAAACCTTCTAAATGATAAATTTCCTGCTGTTGATAAGTGGATGTTGAGCTCTCCGTAACAGTAATACTTCCTTCTGACAACAAGGTGATTTCTAGCCCATCTATATGATAAAATTTCCTACTGTTGATACAGGGAATTTCAAGCTCACTTGTGTAATACAACTGTTGCTGGTAAAGGGAATTTGATTCTTCCTAAATGATATGATACTTGTTCATAATTACTTATTGTTGAATAATTTTTTGCATAACATGAGATTTTACAATTTGCTGAAATGTGTTTCTAGGTGTAACACACAACATTCCTCTTTTGAGAGATATAATGACTGAAGAAAGGTTTGTAAAAGGTGACATTAGTACTAACTACCTGACCACTGTTTATCCTGAAGGTTTCAAAGGTAAAACCTCTTCTTTCAAGTATTGAACTCAGTTTGATAACTTTATTCTTTGTATCAGGTCTTAGAACCAGTCTACTAGATATTAAGAGTTCTCTCTTCAATTTGCAAGTACATGCATGGTGGATGTTTTTAGTTTTGTTACCTGAGTTTGTGAGAAATAATGGATAAAGTTTTTAAATCTTATTATTAAGATAAATTACTAGAATATGGAAGGTTTGTGAAAAGTCATAAATGTATATTTTATGTTATCAAACTTATTTTGGATTAATTCACTATTTCTAATTATTGTAAACAAACATAGAATAGTTTTCTCTTGAAAAACAGAAACTAATGTTTTAAGTAAGCATTTCATATACCAACAAAATATTAATTATTCTGAGATGGTGGTAATTTAATTTTTAAAAAACTAAATGCTCCACATTCTTACACTTAAGTTTCTTCCTTATGTCTAAACTTCATCTAGAGACTTAAAAAGATGAGAAAATAAACTTTATAAAAAACTTTTAATTCTTTTAAGAAGATCTTTAGAATTAAGTTTCTGATAAGTGTTGTTTATTGTATTTAAATTGTAATATATCAACTTCTAATTTTTAATTCTATTTGTAATCACTGTGTGTAATACCAAAGCTCATCTGGACGTTATCAATAAAACATTCTTGGCATCATAAGGAGATTAATGATGGTTCATTTCGAAGTTCCGTTAGTGCAAGATTTTATTCAGTTAAAAAAAACAAAAGCTATTTATAGCTACCCTTATATTTTGTGAATAGTCATCCTATTGTAATGTGGTCAAAATAAATTGGAATAAAAATTCTTAACTAGTTTTCACCACATTCATGTATACAATTCAAATGTTTTTTAATTGGATTTTTTTTTCTTGCATCCCTCTCGGTACATAGTCTATTGTTTAACATTGCTATTATATTTAAAATGTGCCTCAAAATAGAATTATCATTGTTCTTTTAAGCTTTCATAATAAAAAAATATTTAGATAACATATGTGAGTGTGATGAAAAGCCATTTTTATTCATTTTCATTCTACGTTTACTTTTATATTTATATTTCTATATATATTTCATATCTGTACCAAATATGTTTAATATTTCATGATTAACTTCATTTAACTTTAAGGGTGAATAAAACATATAGGTATACTGTAACAAATAGTAAAGCCTATAGTAAACAGTGTTTCTGATATTTCAAATAGAATAATATCATTAAAGTAAAAAAAATCTGTTTTTTTTTTACTTTTGATGATGTTATTCCACTTTTTTCTTGAATTTTCAAACACCTTCATGCTCTTTCTTTGAAACTGAGTGTCTCTTATATGTCCTGTTTATCTAGGGAAGCAACTAACAAATGTTGAGAGGAATGACATGTTGGCTCTAGCAGGCTGCATGTATGTTAAAGACTCCATTCGTTCAGTGAACTTTCTTAACCAACCCAGGTACTGAATGTCTAAGCTGTAGTATTAACAGATTTTTTTTCAGTTTTGTTTTATACACAGTCACTGCAATACCAGAATCAACAAGATTCTTTCATTAACTGTTTTCGTATACTGCCAGAATAATGTGTGTAAATGGTTTGTGGATAAAGTTTCCTTCTCATATGAAAATAATAAATCCATCTTGCTTCTGAAGCATCCAAACTACAGTAATAAAAAAAAAAAAAAAACAACAGCAAGAACACTATTAAAAATAAAATATATATAGCATTTAGGTTGATCTTAAATTTTCACATAAGTATTCTCCAAGATAAACATTTAGTCAGTTCCTGTACTCGGCTGTTCTCTGTGCTAAGATACAATCCAGGAAATTATTTATTCTTCATGGGAATTGGTATTCTCCATGGATTTACATTTAAGTTGTATACAGGGACCTTAACTTACTAGAAACAGGCAAAATATAAGATTTCATTGTAGACATCCAGTGAAGTTAAACTTATTGGGAAGAGCTTGCAGAGGTTATACCAAACAACTAAAGTAAAAAAAAGTGGATTATAAGGCCTTTCCACAAACTTTTTGACTATAATGAATTTGAGAGATAGTCAAACATGACAGTAAACAAAGTCTTTTGTACTGTGTATATGTATTTTGCATGAGAAATTTGGAAACCAATCACTACAGGTATACATATCGACCTTTTTGGGTGTGCAAAAATGGCAAATGAAACAAACCATGAAATTGTTGTACTGAGTGAAGTTGTAATATTACATAACAACTGTGATAAGGCTTGGATTTCGAACTTTGTTTTAATAAAGTATTATATATGTGTCAGAATAATATAAAGGGTGATAATGTATAATTAAGAAAAAGGTATATTTTTGTAGAGGATGAATTTGCCAGAAAATAGGTATTGTTTCACAAATATTAGTCTAGCATTTAATTCAATGTTAAATCTAAAGATTTAAAAAACTGTTGATTATCTTTGAATGTGTTACGTGTGTTTCATTTGTAATGCTCTAGTTGTTTAATTATATTTATAAAGATCTAGAAAGTGAGTGTAAATGTTAACAAATGCTATTCATAAAATCATAATAAAAATATATTGTTGTTTTTTGCTCTTAGATGAACCTTTAAATAGACTAAAAAAATAAAAGATTAGATATAAAAAATTTCCAAATCTGTGGTGCTATGTTATAAGTTTTCTAACTTTTTTTTGTTTTTAAATTGTTGTTTTCTATGCTTAAAGGACACTGGAAAGTAACATTCCCAAATCTTGGAGTGTTGTTGCCCAAGTAAATGATCAGGATTTCCTATTGCGTATATCCATCAAGAAAGATCATTACAAGGTGAGTTATACTCATTACTCACATCACTTCTCTTTGATGTAATGCTACAAGTTCTTTAACTTTTTCCGTATGAGCATCCTTTTCTGTGCATGTCACAAGGTTTTACTGATTTACATTCAAAATTTCATTAAGCTACTTTATCATCATGGTATACAAATAAACTTGGTATCAAAACATAGCTAATAATCCAAATTTTAATGCTATACAAGTTTAAAATTCTTAATTTTTTAAGGGAATGTTTAAAATAAAATCCATTTTCCCCTACTTTGATAATTTGCTCTCTAATTATTCCTTCTTCTCAAATTTATTTATCACCCCTCCCTTCCAAGAAGTACAGAATTTAAAGTAAATTATTCATTATGATATTGTTATTACTCAGGCAAAACATGTTTTTTTTTATAACCTTCAATCTTATTTAGTTACAGAGCCATAAATTAAAAAATCGGACCCTTCTTGCCACACCTACCTGATATCACACATCTTCTCTTCATAAATTGCCAATAGTTCTCTCTGATGTGTAATACTATCTTATTTATAACCAATAGAAAGCCAAAGTTTTAATCTATAAAATGATGTATTATAT